AGTTAACCGGTTGGTCAAACGAGGCCCATATACCGGTATTTGTATTTCGGCAGTTAACAGCCCATAATAAATTACGAGGACTACTAATTTAATGTTGGGGAATATATATTCATTCTAAAGACCCATAATAATTGGTATAATGATATATATTTTATTTGGACCGGTAAAACGAAATTTAATTAAAACAGTTTGAGATATACAATTTTCAAGGCTGAATGTACACTCTTGAACATAAAAGGATGACCTCCCACATGGGTGGAGACACCCACGAAATTGGGTGTCAAAGACAACCCATAGGACGTCCATGATGAGATAAGTTAACCATTGGGGCTAATTTGAAGGAAAAAGCATCAAATGGGTATGGTGGACCATCCTCCCATACTCATTGAGCACATGAGACAAGAGGAAGTATCCTCACTCCCTACTCCCCTTATGGCCTTATTATTTAGGCCAGCTATTGCTAACAAGATAGAGAGGCTCCCAAACTCATATTCTCCATGGTTGAAGCAAGATCTAGCAAGGAAAGAATTCAAACCAGAAGCTGAGTGGACGTATTTAGGAAGAAAGCTTGAGAAAAGTAGGTAATGACCTTATCGTGTCTTTTCTTTCTTCCATATAATATCATATGACTTATACATCATATGGAGGACCCCTAGGATTGCTCTACATGTTTAGAAGTGTAGAATGAGGGGTTGGAAGGTGGTTCTAAGTCCAAGAACGGACTTAGAAACCAAAGTGACCGGTTCACCAGAAAATAACCTTTTAGAGGTTAATTATGTTGATATGGGTTTTGTGATGATGAAACCTTGTGAGGAAATTGTATAAGGTGTTCCTAGTGCTTTCACTAAGTTGAAAGAGTCGCCGGAGTTCAACAAAGTTCGCCAGAGTTCAACTAAGAAGGGTAGAACGTATTAAAGCTCATTCAAGGTGAGTGAACGGCTTAATGTTTTATAACTATTGGGTTAAGTATGAGATTATCTAAAGAAATGTTATATGTATTCATAATGATTTTTAAAAGAGTTTAAACATGTGATTAGCTAAGGTGATTAGGCTTATGTGAACTAAAATGGTACATTATGATTGTAATTGAATAAAAATGCATATAAAAACATTATGATGTTTTGAATGGTCAAAATGGCATTTACTGATTGTTTGAGACTTAATACATATTGTGTATAAGTTTTGGATCAAACGAAATACATTTCGGGGGTCAACAGGTCGTTTACCCGAGGCAGCAAGGACCGGTGCCGGCCAGGGGCCTGAATCGGCGCCGGTTTGGTCACTTTGTGACCGGTTCACGTATTCTACAGGTGAACCGGTGCCGGTTCGGCTACGAGTTTTGGGACCGGTTTTTGGAAAACTGTGTTTCAGGGCCCGGTTCAAGGTAGAATCGGCTCCGACCATCCTATATATGTATATTTTGCATGGAATTGCATGAAATATGACATTTAAATGCTAAGACTTGATATATGATGATTAAATGTTAAGGCTTGGATTAGTCGTTAGTAATGATATGATATACACCCTATCTAAGTGTGATATTTGGTAGATAATAGGAAATGGTGGAGTACCCAGAGATTGAACTGTCCTCAAAACTTGGTATATAATTGGCGGAGAACTCGGGGACTTGATTGTCCTCAAAGCTCGGAAATGTAATTGGTGAAGAACCGAGGGAGTGGACTATCCTCAAAACTCGGAAATGTAATAGGTGGAGTACCCAGGGAATGGACTATCCTCGAAACTCGGTTATGAAATTGGTGGAGTACCCAGGGACTGGATTGTCCTCAAAACTCATCGACTAAGGTTTAGTGACCTAGGACCCGCCTAGGACCCGGTGGTGTCCTGATGAAGGTGCTTGATTGAACAAGGAGGAGTTCTATACAATCATGAGCATTTGAGTAGTTTGGGTTTTATAAGTTGAGGTCATTGACCACGATAAGTTTCCCAAGTAAACAATGATCTACGGGTCGGGTATTTTTCAAGTGTATATACTGATATGTATTTCGAGACTTGGAGGGAGGATATAAGTATATGTATCACCCTATGTTCGGGTACTATACTTGAAACGTTAGTTATTCTACATATGGTGATACTTATACATATACTGTTGGTTTTTAGTGATTGAAAAGATCTTAAAAGGAAAATGTGGTAGTTGTTTGGTAAAAGCTGACTCTTAGATTTAATTCTATTTGGCATGCAAGCTGTTAGGACTAATTAATACTTAAAGTCACAGACTTTTCTTAGATGAGGTTCTTTTTGTTTTATTTGTATGAATTGTTGGCGTCCTACACACCAATCTCTTCAACACATTTACACAACACACAAATATGTACTACGTATGTGTAATACTTGTACCTCATTCGTCCCACTTATAAGTTTCTCACACGGAATATGATATTTGATTGATCATAAAATTAACCGATCTTTGTAAAAAAATAAAATTACATATTCAAAAAGGAATAATGACTCCTATATTACTAATAGTGTTTTAGGTTCCAAAAATACAACCTCTTTAAATATTTCCACAAAAGTGACCCCCTCGATTAATTTCCCTCTCCCCTTCATCGCCAAACATTACTCTTCATCCCGATCCCCCTTATGCCGTCCAACTGCTGTCACTCCCAAATCGGCGCTCCAGGTCAATAACCAATGATGTCACCCACTCGTCCGCCACCTACATCCGTGCCAGATCCGCTCACCGTCATCTTCGAGCCTTCTTCTTCTCCTCCTTTCTTTCCCGCAAACCACCGTTATTGAAGATTTGTATCATCTCACTGACACACGATCCAATACATCCCCTTCGATTGTTGATGTTGTGGTTGATTTTTACTATTATTTTAACCATCATCGTCGCTAGCTAGATCTGTCTATTGACAGAGGCTACGAGTCAACATCGATTACAGATCGAGGCTAGAGGGTGGAGGATCTGTGGTGTGTGCGTGAGGGAGTGCAGGGGAGTCTGGCTACGTATTGGGGAGGACGGCCAATGACCGGACCAGGGGCAGGACAGTGAACTGGATCGGGGTGGGGAAGGGGATGATAGTGGCGGTTGTCGGAGGGTAGGAGCGGCAGTTACAAGGGTAGGAGTTGCGCCTGACTAGGGGTAGGCGATGGGCCGGGCAGAGCTAGGCAGTGCTAGGGCTTTGGACATGTAGCGGGGGAGTGGCTGGTGGTCACTAGCCGGGTCACTGGGGGTAGTCACTGAAATGGGACACTGGCGGTATTCATTGAGTGGATAGTAGTCACTGACGGGTTTAGGGCGTTAGTTCGAGTAACTCGGGAAGGGGTGGAATTAGTGGGCGGGTTACCGGTAGTGGTCACTTATAGGTTCCCGACTGATATAGTCACTATTAAAAGCTACAGTCAGTGAGCTACTTTTGTGGTGGTGGATTCACTGGGTTAGTGACTGGTGAATGTTGAAACAGTCACTGAGTGGCAAGATTGGCAGCGGCAGTGCTGGTAGCGGCGGCGGCGCTGGTGGTGGCGGTTGTTGTGGTGGCTATGAAACTTTGACTAATTATTATCAATTACATAAAAGAAAAATTACAATAATAAATGCGATATTAAATAAAGAGAGTAAATGAATGTTTAGTCACTTTTTTGGAACATTTTAAAAGAGGTCATATTTTTGTCTTTTCTATTTTTTTAGTAATATTGATAAAAAAGGTCATTCAAAAACCATATTAAACGTTTACAAAGTCACAAAAATAAATTTGATAAAAGTTGAATATATAAATTAAAAGATTAAAAACAATTTACGTTGATTGGAGAATAGTGAACATGAACTTTTATGTGATACGAAGGTAATAGTATTCATATAAGAATTTAGAAAATAGTTCAAACTAAAGTATAAATATAACTTGTCTTGAAATAGAACCTATCATCTTTGTTTAAAAAGTAGAGATAATTCTTTTCCCAAATAAAAGTCCGTCCATCCCATAATGTTTGTATCATTTTTATATTATTATTATTATTATGAGCATGTTTGGTAATACCAAAATCGGCTTTATTGATTGATTTTGCTAAAATTTCTGATGTTCTCGTTGAAGTAGCTGGATTGGTTGATTCTACTGATTAGCTAAAATATATTTTAATTATGAGGGGGGAAATAAAAAATATATTTTATTAATAAAATAAAGAAAAAATTATATGAAAAAATAGCTAAAATAATTCCGTATAATAACTTCAGCCGATACAGTCAGAAAAGTAACTTCAATCTTGCTTTTTCTTATTATTACTCAATTCAGCGCATGAAATCGAAAATTACATGTTTGGAAAAAAAAAAGTTGGCTGATTAGTCGAAAAATAGGGTCACCATACGGGATCTACGTAAGTAGTGAGATTATGTTATTGAGGGTTGTTTAGAAAGTATGGATCAATATAAATCATACAAATATCTTCTTAAAATAAAACAAGTACTTTTGAAGAAGCGGTTCAGCTCAATCGGTCGTCAACTCACTCTCCCATTCGGGAGGTCTCACGTTCAAATCTTCATAACTACAGGGAGTTTCAGCCAAGTTTATCACAGACTCTCCCATAGGATTACGGATTTTTGATTTCCCAAATGAAATTTTTGTAGTCATATTTCCGATACATAAATAGATGATGATGTTTGAAGAAATGTGTTATGTGCGTATCATATTTATTACACGCATTGTCAACATTTGCTGTTGTTGAATTATTGTTTGGTCATAAAATATTACATGCATCTATGTTGCTAAACTAACAAAAGATAGAGTAACTAACGAATTGCTGTAATAAGGATAATGTTAATGTTGCTTCATCTAACAGTTTCCTAATTATATTTAGTTGAAAAAGATGCCAGAAACACAACTATATATGTCTTATTAGTCAAAACGTGCTACAAGTTTAAATAAATTATATAATTAATTAAATTACTACACTCAATATTTCTCAATTTCATCTACCCATTTCTTTATACAAAATCTTATATATATTATGATTATTATTTGGTCTGATCTCTTTCTCTGTTAATTATCCTTACCTCAAACCTCCCCTAAGCTACATCCCCCCACCCCCTTCCCAAAAGGAGAAAAGAAAACGTTTTGTTACATTTATTATTGAAACACCAGGTCATAGCTAGTGTTGTTTCCTCTTTCACCTCGATCTAGACTATATTACGGGCCTTTCTTTGGTTTATTTGAAGCAATTAACTTCTCTAACTTTTGCTATTCTCAATGTTGAGATAAACCCTTCACGCTCATTGTTTGGTTAGTTATATATGTATTGTATTATACATTACTCAATAAATTTTTATATATATAGTTCTAATAGCTAAAATGCTTATTACTATAAAAAACTTATTAGTGATCGTAATCTCAACTCTTTGGTTTTTCATTGCGTCGAGCAATAACAATACTGGCCTTTTCGAGACTGGAATTTTGAGCCTCCATCATCATCACCATCGCCATCACCGCCATCACAAAAAGCACCATAATTGTCACAAAGGAAATCATATATCGGTTAGAAAACATAAACAAGTGTTCAATGTGGATGCTTTTGGGGCGAAGGGTGATGGAATCACAGACGATTCCAAGGTATACTTCTCTGTCAATTTATTCATTAAAAAAATCATATTTTTATGTATTCGTTTTAAAATTGAATATGACAAATTTAGCTTTTAAATTACGTTGAGAATGAGTAGGAATAAGAACATTAGAATTAAATTTGTAAGTTGTCCAACAATTTCAAAAATGTGTGTATTAGTCACTTATCAGACGTGTTTCTTAAACGGATTAACCACCCGTACGGGTAGCTCAGTTGGTTCAGTGATGAGAAATTTGGAACATTGATCAATGTACGAATTGAAACCCGCTACGGCCGTGTGGAGGTTACAGCTCCTGCGTCCTGGGCTGGACCTCGGGTGCGCATGGATATAAGGTCTACCATCATTCGACCGACTGAGTCACCATGACTTACATTCTCCCAAAAATTATGTTGGGTCGGGTGTGGGACCCGGGATTGGGGATTCAACCTTTTTGGAACATTTTAAACGGATTGATAATTATATATTTTTTGGTATGTTTAATTTGGGTGTGCTCCATAATTATCAAGCATACTCCGTATAAATTATTGACAGCAAAATAAACATTTTATCTTTTGGAAATTAATTAAATATTATATTCCAGGCATTTAAAAGAGCTTGGAACAAGTTCTGCCAATCAAGGGAAGGCATCCTTCTGATCCCTCGCAAGAGAACGTATTTGCTTAGTCCAATGCACTTCAACGGTCCATGTCATCCCAACCTTAATCTGAATGTGAGTAATTTCATTCTACACATTCATTTTATCTATTTATTATATACTCTGTACCTAGTTGAGAAGTTACAACACTTTAATGAGGCCAATTGATTTAGAGGAGAATGCCCCAAATAGACCAAAATTTGTCCATTTTTCCAATGTTTAAAATGTCATAAATATAACTTATTATTTGTGATTAGACAAAAATATCCTTATAGGGGTGTAGCAGTGTTGCGACCATATCACTGGACTATCGGCCGCCGAAAAATTTTCTGCTCACTTCACCGTTGTCTTCTATCAGAATCGCAGTCACCACCTACGGTTATGCCCTTGGTTATGCAAGGAAACTAGGAGAACAATTAGTTGTATCGATTTATAATATTGGGGATAGAAATGTTATGTTTAATTCTATTTGAGGAAAACAAAACATATGATCATGTTTTTAAAAGATGATTACGTTAGAACAATTTTCTCTTGATTTACCATAGTTAAATTAATTAATCAAATTAGTTTCAAAGTTTTGAATGCTTGATTATAAATTAAATGAGCAGCGATCCAAATCAAGTGATTTATTTATTTAACATTAATGAATCATATGTATATTTTATTATTAAGAATGAATAAATATACAAAATGCAGCTACATGGAACAATCAAAGCGTCTGGGAATAAAGATGACTACAGGAAGGACAGGGAACATTGGCTGAAGTTCAATAACTTGAGAAATTTCGCGGTTAAAGGCGGTGGTGTGGTAGATGGCAATGGCCATATATGGTGGAAGGAGTCTTGCAAGGTCAAAACAACAGAGGTAGGTACTTCATCCCCAAGCCTTCTTCTCTTCATTATTTCTTTTTTATTAATAAATTAAAAACTAAGAGAGCTTCAAGTTCACCACATGAATATTGAACGGGAACCTCTTTTTGGAACAGAATTAGCATACGTCTAGAGAAAAATGCATAAACGATACCTTAACAATTGGTATTGTTGCGTTTTGATATCTTTAACTCTTTAATAAATCAAATCATTACTATAACTACACATAAATATTTCAACATACCCGTGACACAATATTATTCAAATTTTTGGGCAAAAATGCTACGTAACGCCCAGAACTACTCTATGTGTAAAGTCGACTTTACAAATTTTATCCATATCATCACTCTAGAGTGGACTCTACTATGGAATTTTAGTCTGTCACGTATGATTTTTTGTCGGGAATTTAAACAGCATTTATCGATTAAAACATTTACATATGGTTATGGTATTTATTTGTTTCATTTATCGATAAAATGTATGTTTTATGCATTTTATCGATATATTTATTTGGGCATTTGGCATGTTTGCATTCTGAAGTAGTTTCAAACTTTCACTTTGTATTGAATGAATAATCGTTTCCCTAGCTAATTACTCCGTATTATTTGCATTGGCCATTCAGTCCCGTAACTTGTCATGTTGATCAATTAGATTTTACTCCGTACAATTTAATAGTTCTAACATAAATAAATTATAAAACAATGACATGAACCAAATAAATTTATTGTAACCGTTGTACTCTCTCACTTATTTTTGTGTGTTAAATATTTGACTGTTTTCTCTTAAACACTAGACTATAGACACGTGATTAATATTTTATTTTTACAGTACATATTTCGACCATGTGATTCAAACGTTATCAAATCCAATAAGACAAATGAATTTTTAAATCCAATAATCCAATAAACTCTCATTTTGTAGTTTTTTATAACTATCGAAGTCTGATCTAATCTGAACTAGTTTGGTCTAGTTTGATTTAGTCTGATTAAGTCTAGTCTGGGTTGAAACTAAAATAAGTTTAATTAAAAACATCCAAAGAAAGCATATTACATATGCATACTCTTCATTTACAGGTTTTTTTTTTTAAAATATTACAAAAATTAAAGGTACTTACATAATTATGACTAATAGTTATTATAGTATAGCTTTAGCTTGTCACTTAAGTGAAAAATAGGTTATTGTGATTAAGCTACTACTATACATAAACACTACACTTAAAATGTTACTCTCTCAATCCCAAATTGTAAGATACATTTACTATTCACTTGGTCAACATAAATCACTCTTAATCTTTTACTTTATATATCAAAAGTTTATAAAATTTTAATTATTTTTTGCAGGTTTTGTAGCGGTTTAATTTGAATGTAGTTTTTGAATATGTAAATTTTATTTTCTAAAACTAATTTGAGTGTTGACAGAGATCAATTTGCTTTATCGTCGGTCAAACATCGTAAACCGTAAAGTATCATACAAATTGGGACGGGGGGAGTATATTTTTGTAAATTACATTTATTTAGTCATATACATGTGGTTATTTCTATATCTTAATGGAGACTAAGCTGTATTAAATTAAGGCTAGAATAATTATAATTGGATTACTTTAAATGTAACCATTTAGATATAGTCTTGAGAGATGATACCGCATTCCTTCCTGTGCTACATCTTGCCCCATCTTGGGAGCGCATAGGTAGACATACATACATACATACATATATATATATATATATATATATATATATATATATATATATATATATAGAGATATATAGAGATATAGACATATACTAGTAGTTTATTTATACTTGAAAAATGATGAAAGATACACTTTTTATTGGATGAGATATATACTCCATCCGTCCCCTTAACTTTTTTTCGTTTTACCTTTTTTGTTTGTTCCATTAAATTTGTCTCATACCATATTTGATACTACGTAATATTTAAGTGGTTAGAATTCATTTTTACTTTATTCATACTTTATCAATTTAATATCAACAACACAATTCTACTTTTTCTTAAAAACCAAAGCACACCTCTTTGTTCCAAACTTAGGGGGAGGTACTATTACTTACTACTCGGTATATGATAATTACTTCATTGACCATCAAAGGTATTTGGACATTTTGTTTTTGTTTTTTGCAGACTTGCGATAGAGGCACCACACCATTTGTAAGTCTTCCTGGCCTGCCTGCTTTCTTTATTACTATTAAGCCAAAAAAGGGGCTGAACTCCCAAATCAAATCTTTTGTGTGATTATTTCTTTCCCTTCATTCAGGCAATGACATTCCAAAATGGCATAAATATAAGCGTAAAGGGCTTATTGTTCAGGAATTCACAGAGAATGCATCTTGTCTTTTCTAACAGTCAAATGGTTAGGGCGTCAAATTTAGTAATAAAAGCTCCCGGAGATAGCCCCAACACCGACGGGATTCACGTCTCACGTACCACAAATGTGGTCATCTCCGATTCATTTATTGGAACTGGTAAACCATTTTTCCTATCTCCTTTATAATAAAAACCCGTTATATTAAAACATTTGAGAAATCCAAACTACGAGTGATATGTTTTTGTCTAAAAGTAATCACTGTCAAGTTTTGAAAATACTGTCACTTATGACGGTATACTGTCACGTTAAAGGCTAATAATATCAAAACATGACATTAAATTTTCAAGGTGGTAGTAACATACTCCTATTTATGGAAAAACATAACAGTTCTATTTCGGAATTATCAAACACTTTTACTCCTATTTTGGTAATTTTTGTTATATCTTATTTATATGATCGGCTTAATTTCTACAAAATAATTTTGTATTAAGTTGTTTAACAAAATTCAAGGTTCAACAACAACTTCTTTAAGCATGTTTTAAATTGAACTGGTTCCGATCTCAAACCTCATCAAACCAGACCATGTTTGAAGTTATATTGTGTGTATTATGCATTTGCTAGGTGACGATTGTATCTCAATAGTGAATGGGTCCACAAATGTAAAAATATTGCGTGTGGTATGCGGACCGGGACATGGTATCAGGTTAGAACTCAATGCCTTGATTATTACTTGTTTTATTGCTAAGTTAATATTATGATGAGAGTTGACATTCCTAAAATGTCAACAGTGAATCCGATGTTCTATATGGTTTTATATTCAGTTCTTTTATAGTATAGGAAGCTTAGGGAAACATGAAAATTTAGAAGAACATGTAACAAATGTTGATGTTAAGACGGTCCTGCTCAAGGGAACAACTAATGGAGTCAGAATAAAGACTTGGCAAGTAAGAGTTGTACTTTGTACTTAATACTTCATGCTTTATATTGTTTTTGTTATGAAACATATATATACTCTCTCTTTCCACAATTGATAGTACCATATATATTTTGCTATATTTCTTTTTTGCGAACTTTATATATGTAAAATATCCGCTTTTTTTATATACAATGGTAAGTAGGAAAGTTTATCCCGGCCAATTTCTTAAATTTTGTACCCAAAAAGTATGAAATATCAATTTTGAGATGGAGGAGTAATAATTATGATTTGGTTGTTCTAATTTTTAGCATGTTGATTATTGTAAAGAATTAAATCGTTTTTCTTGTTTTGTGTATATAAAGGGAGGGAAAGGATCTGCAAGGAACATCAAGTTCGAGAATGTTGAAATGCAGAACGTGACAAATCCCATAATCATAGATCAATACTATTGTGATAAGCCAAGAGACAAAATCGGTGACAACTTGCCATGTATTGAGAAGGTATGTGTAAGAAATTTGTTCATGAAGAACTAGCTACTCCAAACCATTGTTTTCGGGGTATATTTTACATTACTTATTCTATTTGACCTAATTTATTTGTCTCATCAAGTTACTGTCATCGGGTCAAATGTTCACTGTCATTGGGTCACATGTTTCGTACCTAGAGTGTCTCTAATGTCACAATCGCTCAGTGCATATGTGGCATGATAGACACATAAATGTTAGTATGGGATGCATATTCTAATACTCTCTCAGTATCAGAATAAGTGTCTCATTTGGATTTTCAACACGCTTAGTGCATATGTAACACGATTCGCATTCTTGGTGTTTGATAGGAACAAGCAGTGCAAGTGAGTGATGTGGTCTATAGAAACATAAGAGGAACAAGTGCAAAAGAGGTTGCAATAAAATTGGAGTGCAGCGAGATGGTTCCATGCCGAGGGATTCTGTTGCAAAATGTGCATTTGATGAGGGAACGGGCTGGAGTGGTCAAAGCAAAATGTTCAAATGTCAAGTATGAGACTAAAGGGAGTGTTTTCCCTAGATGTCAACACACTTATACCTCTCATTCTCCACTTCTTTGAAATCAGAACTCATGACACTCTTTTTTGCACAAACACATACCAGCTCAACATCTACACATGTACTGCTACATGCAACTCATTCAACTCTACATTTATTACAGTTAGTGATCTTCCACACATAATTCATTTGTTAGTGTGGGGGGTAAATAGCATCAGTCTCACACCATGCTTTCAGAGGTGCATGGATGATGGATCAAATATAAAAGAGAAAATTGCACTTGAAAGGACCAAAACATAGCATTCTTAAAAAAATAGGACCTTATGTTTATTAATCATTTCATCTCTAACCCAAATTTATTTAATTAACCTAATTAATTGTCCCCTAGTTCGCTTCCATAACCATGGTCAGTCCATCTGTGACGGATCAGTCCACAATGGCGGCAACAAACCCAGTCAGCGAAAATATGGCCAATCGTCGAAGCAATTACGAGGGAAAATTTCCAGCCGGCGGTGACTTGGGAAGCAACCATATTTGTGAAAATTTTGTCCTATTCTTTAAAAGGCCTTTTTTCATGAATATTATTTCCTCCATCCCCGTTATTGTCTCATTTCCTATTCACTTTATCAACAGAAATCACTCTTAATCTCTTACTTTATGTATCAAATTTTTATCAAATTTGATTCTGGTTTTGCGACTTTGTAAAGCTTTTAACGTAGTTTCTGAATATATGATTTTTTTTCTAAATCTAATTTTAGTGCGGATAAGGATATGTTTGCTTTATCGTCACTCAAGCATCGGAAATCGCAATAGGATAATAGCTGGGGGACGGAGGTAGCACTAAATTAAATTCAAAAGACAAAAATATGACTTATTTAAAATTTTCCGAAAAAGTGACATATTTAGTGACTAGTTCTCAGTGATTTAGCAATTATCAGTCACCTGTCACTCTGAAATACACTATAGTGACTCTTGTCCAGTTACTCATACATGGACTCAATGCCAGACATAGGGATGGACCCAACCGATTCGGCCCGGCCTGGCCCGGAACCGGCCCGGCCCGCTACTGTGCGGGCCCGAACTGGCCCGGTTGGTGCTAATCGGGCCCGGGCCTTTACCCGGTTGGGGCAGGTTGGGCGGACCAGGCTCAGGCCATGTTTTTCTTGAACCAGGCTGAGCCCTGGCTTTTTTTTATTTTTTTTGTTTTTCTTGGTTAGGGCTGGGTGTTTGGGAGGGGGGGGTGGTGGGGGTAGTGAACTGTGAGGGAGGGGGGGGGGGGTCGGGGGTTAATTAGAAAGCAAAAAAACATAGAACCGGACCTGACCCAAACCGGCCCAGGCCCGGCTTGACCCGATTTATACCCGGGCCGGTTCCGGTTCCCCTTTCCCAAAAAAGCCCGCCTGGGCCCAAGCCCGGAACCGGCCTGGGTCTATCCCTAGCCAGACAGGAATTCTCAATTGGAAGGCGATAAGGTAAAAAATACATATTAATTAATACACATACTACATATATATTGACATCTATAAGTATTTGATGAAACTTCTTTCCATTTTAAAAAAAATGACATCTTAAAGCAATTATATATACCTATTTCGAAAATTTAATTTGGGAGGGGGCACTTGCCTCTATTTGTGTTCGATGTTGCCTGTGCATTATTATATATCACGATGAATACCTCAAAATGAAATTTTTAAACACTTTTGGTATATACAACCTATTAAGGTTAAAAAAAATGTCTCCAGGTTCTTATTTTAAAGATGATTCTTCCAACATTTTTTTTTTAAATTCTAAAAGTACAATATTTCCAATTCTTCTATGGTTTTACTCAGCTCGGCTGAATAGACCTGAATCGTATCCACCAGACTCTACTCACAAGCACGTTGTTCATCCTAACATCATCATCATCAAATTACTACAGAAGCCTGCTGCAACTCACACATAATCTTAAAATAATTAGAAGAAAAGTAGAACTGTTACTAGATTTACACAACAATTTTTGGCTTCACCCCAACATTTCTCCAGGAAACACTGGGCATTATCTGCTTTGTGTCAACACAGTCTTTGAATTGGATGGTGAAGTTCAAAAGCGAGTCAATAAGAGAGTTCGACAGAAGGTGGGGTTCCAGACCCAACTCAATAAGTTTGGTGTGTTTGGCGTTGTAATAATGTTCCTCTGCCTCTACCCGTGGGTTGGGGACGGACACAGTTTTCACCTCAAGCCCGAGTTTCTCTCCAGCCTTGGTTACTAGGAAAGCGAGCTGGTTGACAGAGTACTGCTCTGTGAACTGATTGAAAACCCGAAATTCTCCTAGCTTTGCAGGATTTGCAATTGCCAGCTCAACACACTGCACTGTATCTCTAATGTCCAGGTAGCCTCTGGTCTGCATACAAATTTAAAATTAAAAATAAACACATCCTCAAGCTGAAATACTACTACTACAAGTCATATAAGCCTCCAAGAAATACAAGAAACCCACTTATTAGTCATCTAACATGTTCCATTGCATAATAATAAATTAATAACACTACAGAGTACCAAACACCACTTAAAGACACTGAATACTTGCAGAAAAAATAAGTAATAGAAAACTAAGTTGTGGTATTTGCACTACAGGCTAGCAAACAATGTTCCCAATGTGATCCTCCAATGAGCAAAGAAGACATTACACAAGTTCAGTTGTAGCAGAGGCTCCATTTGTTAACAGGATGATATTTTGTGAAAAATGTTTCCTGGACTTTCCTGTGTTTGGCAGCAGAAAGCATTTTTGTCGAGGAGATTTTTTTCCCATAATTTTTCAACTATTGTGAAAAGCGTCCACTCTGGACTGGTTTGTTACTTTCTATTCTTGTGCATCAAATATTATACGTAGTAGTATACAAAGAACAGATTATGGCCTGCTTAATAGGAGGATTTAGGAGGGGAAGGTTTTGGAGGGTTTAGTCTATATCTTGATAGATGTTTGAGATTTTAATATCAAAACTAAAATATAAGTATGATATGTTTTATGGGATCAGGTAACACTCTATTAGTCAAGATATGAACTGAGCCTTCCAAAGCCTACCCCTACAAAAACCTTAATCCAAATATATTAATTAGGATTACAGTTTGGGAGTTGATATTTTGAGAACTTCGGTTGGGAAGGCTTTAGAGATCTTAGTATAGATCGAAACATATTTGAGATATTATAAAGATTGGATGAAAATTTCTATAGACTAAGCTCTCCAAAGCTCTCCACTCCATCAAAAAGACCCTTAGCGTTCAAATATTTTTTTAGTACAACAGGATCAGCACAATCATAAGTAATCCCTTTCATGATTTCCTCATTATTCCTCTAACAAAAGGAAGCGCATAACCAATTAAAATGCAATGGAACACCAAACAAATAGAGAAAATCCCAACCTGTCCTCCTTTACCATAGACAGTGAGAGGATGACCAACAGCAGCCTGAACACAGAAACGATTCAAGGCAGTCCCAAATACTCCGTCATAATCAAATCGATTAACCAGTTCCTCATGCATTTCAGTCTCATTTGTTCTAACCCCATACACAACTCCCTGGTTTAAATCAGTGGCTCTTATACCCCATGCCTTGCAAGCAAATGCGATATTATGGGAATCATGGACCTTACTCAAATGATAAAAGGAGCTTGCTTGTTTGGGATATGGAAGGGTATCGGTTCTTCCATTGTGTGTGATTGTTATGTAACCCTCTTCAATGTCGATGTTTGGGGTACCATATTCGCCCATTGTCCCGAGTTTCACCAAATGACACTCTTCACTGAACTCCTTTATGGCAAATAGGACATTAAGCGTCCCAATCACATTATTATGTTGAGTGAAAACAGCTCTCGACCTGTCAATCATTGAATAAGGAGCGGACCTTTGTTCCCCAAAATGAACAATGGCATCTGGTTCAAAAGATTTGACTGCTTCTGCCAAGAACACAAAATCACAAATGTCACCAATAAAGAGTTGGATGTCTTTTCCTGTGAGAGATTTCCAACGGCTAATTCGATTGTGGATGGATGAAATTGGGGTGAGAGAGTTAAGCCCAAGCTGGTTGTCAAAAAGGCGACGAACTAGGTTGTCTACAATACAAACCTCATAGTTTTTGTTGGATAGGTGGAGAGCGGTGGCCCATCCACAATAGCCATCACCGCCGATAACCATGACTTTTCTTCTACTAGTGGTTTGGTTAACACCGGGAGCCATATCAGTTTTTCTTTCTTGACCAACCAATACAGCCTTCACATTGATGGTGTTTCTTTTCGACCATTTCCTTCTCGAGATGAGCTCTTTTGGTGAGTCTAAAGTTTTCAGCTGAAATGATTTGTTAGGGATAATAACCCTTCCTTTCTTTGATAGCCTGTGGTGAATTTTAGGGTTTAAATAAGTATTCAAACAAGAGGTAGAGAGCAGACTAGCCATCGCTGAAGATTATTGGAGAGGTTGGCTGATTAGTCGGGGACAGCTGGGGTGGCTGAAAGTATGATAGAATGCAAATATATAAACTGTTATTAAAGTTTACAGAATACTACGTATAAAATTTCAACTTCAACTTCTTAAATAGTTATGATCAATTAAAATTCAAATGAAACTAATTAATCAAAAAAAATTGCACAATCAATTTCAACTTTATACGATTATTATACCAATTCAAGAAATAAATCAATCACACAAACATACGGACTTACCCGAAGTCCCAAACTATTAAACTAAGCAACTGGCCTTCGCATTTTTAAAGTAAAAAATTAATTAAACCAAATACGCAATTAAAGTAATTAAAACAGAATCGATTTGAAAATTAATTACCAAACTTACGGACTTACCCAAACTATACAACTGGCCTTCTGAGTTCGGACTCGGAGTTCGTGACGCAGTGTCGCACTCACGCAGGGGCAGCCGCGCAGGGATGGCGAGTGGCGAGTGGCGACTGGCGAGGGCGCCGACTGGAGAGGGCGCGAGGCTGCGACGGAGCCGTAATGCGAGGTCGGCGACCGGCGAGGCGGAGCAGCGGACGAAGAAGTCTGGACTGTCGAACGACGGACAGCAGGTCAACACGTATATCCCAGTTATTATGGTCAAAACGACGTCGTTTTTTTTGCACTTATCTAAACGACGTCGTTTGGCTCATTTAATTATTAAAAAACACACACTGTCGGCTTGTTCTCTAACCTCTGGTTCGCTGCATCTCCAATGTGCTTCGGCAGTCTCAAGGAAGAAGATGAAAGGGGCGGCCGGGGCGCCGATCAGTATACCTAATACTAGGACGAAAAATTTTACGACAAAGGGGTGGCGCCGGATCGCCCACCTCTGGTCCGCCCCTGGATGTGTGTTGACCATCTATTATCCTTCCTCAAAAAAATTTGGAGTAATGATAATTATAGAGTTTTTTTCGAATTAATGCTAATTAATTAATTAATTACGAAAATAATGTTGGATTAAAAGTATTTACGGATCTACTTCTGGATTTAATCATGGTCAGGGAAAGTCGCTCAACGGTTGGGCGGCTTATAAATCGCCAATCGTTGAGCGACTTTCCCTTTAGATTTTTATAATATAATAATACAATAATCTAATAAGAATATTTAAATAATAGGAGATTTTTTTTCGAATTGGTTTTTGAATATTTAAATAATAGGAGTTATTTAAATAATAAGAATTTTTTTCCGACTTAAATAATATAATAATCTAATAATAATATTTAAATAATCTATTGTAACCAGTTAGTTGAGGTTTTTGTTTTTATTTTGGAAATTCCGTCTTATTTAAGTTCGAGAGAACAATAATTGTAACCAACAACTACTGACATCTAATATTCATACTCGAACACATCAAGACAACACGCAAGAGTTTAGAAGAGAACATACGTAAAATGTTGTAAATTGTTCCTACAACATCTACTGTACAATAAAAACTGCAATACAAAAGGCAAACTACAAGTTCTCGTGGTCATCTTGATCATCTTGGTCATGGAGATGTTGCTGCTGATGTCTACGCCTACGCCGTGGTCGTGGTTGAAAACCCACTCTCTCATGCTGCGTGTTGGATGATGAAGTCGCGCGCTGCACTAGACGTCGATGACATCTCCTGAGATGGGGGCATGTGTATAAGATGGACGTAGTCGACTCGCCCCAACACATTTGAACACAAAGAGGCAATGTCTGTCAGAGTCTGTCCATACATGTCCACATCATGAGTATCACTCACAGTGGCAGTAGTCCGCTGATGTATACGCTGCAAAGCTCGTGTCTGAAATATGAAACACAATTACAGTTACATTGAAATACATACAAGTATTCAATAAATAAAATGACTTACTTTACTAATTAGTAATATACTCACCGTAAGATGCAAAGCCAAGGAGTTAGGCTAATAATGATGAGTAGGGAGTCTGAACGAAGGAGACACAAACAAACGAGTGATGTTGTAATACCATCCCATGTAGTCTCCTGAAACAGATGAGACAAATGTCGGTGTCCCAGTCACAACTAGCTTAGCTCGCATGTCCCACATAGTGACGTATCGAACATGTCCGAGTGCCCAATCCTCCGAATGCTTCCCACGCCTATCCAGCCTATGAAGCTCTACATAAGTGTCGATAGGCCGTGGAATGACCTGCTCAAACCCAAACTGTCACAAGGCTCGATCAGGCAAATGAAACTCAACAATGTCAAAACATATCAACGGCACACGTGCTCGCCATATGTCAGTATGCTCTCGTAAAGCCGGGGGCAACTCTGCAAACATCTCAGCTGTATAGGGCATCCATGTAATCTGTTTTATAAAGATACAAAATTAGTATTTATGCTATACATTTTATAGTTAATGTTATATTACCCACACCATACCTGATCCTCAAACATCCGATCAAATGCATCCCTGTAGACACTGAGCCCAGTAGCGGATGACATGCGACTTAGACCAGCAAATAGCCATCTAACCATTCATGTAACCGTTTCATTGATATGGATATTATTAATATACTTACATTCAACATACAATAACATAAATACTAATGATTAAAAACATACCGACGGCCTAGAGGGTCTTCGCCCCGTACATGATGTGATCCCAGAAGACGTGGAGGCTGATCAGGGAGTGGGTGTCCATCAATGTCATGATATGCGATTACAATGGGACGCCCAATGTGGATATACTCCAATGACCAAATCTGAAGGAGTAGCAAAAATCCCCCAAGCTCTGTGCTCCCTCTATGGCAGTCGCGACACAGTTGTCTGTAGAGATAGGCCGACGTGGCACTACCCCAGCTGAACTGTGCTGCTACATCAAACCTCTCTAGCAATGGCAAGTGCAGCACCTGAACCTCATTTCCGCTCTTGTCAGTGAAAATGGAGGCTCCCATCATCATCAAGATATATGCCCGCGCATGCTGCTGGATCATCACCTCATCAGCGTCCGGATGAAGCACCTGGAAGTGCTCCCTCAACCATGGCATCCTCAGGGATGACCCCTGAAGGTCAGTCCGAAGAACGGGGCGGACACCTAACAAGCACTCACACTCATCTACCCACTGTCGACAAGCAGTGCCTGTAACAGCTCTCCCATGAACCTGTAGCCCAGTAAGTACAGCAGCGTCTCCCAAGGTCACTGTCACCTCACCAACAGGGAGGTGAAATGTGTGTGTCTCCTGTCTCCAACGCTCAAGAAGAGCAGTGAGTAGCGCTCTATCGAGAGGGACAGTAGTCACCAATCTGTGCAGACCATAAAAACCCGCGGCACGAACATATGCAAGTACTCTGTCGTCCACATGCATATGCGACAAACCGCGTAGGTGCTCGCGGCACCTATCCACCTGAACATCGAGGCCAAGCCACACATCCTCACTCCTGTGCGAGGCCTGCAATGTTAGGACAGAACGATCACTCGGCCCAGGATCCGCTGTCACATCCATGCCTACTAACAATTAAAATCGTATTAGTTAATTTTTAATATTATACTAATTCTTTTTTTAATCATCCATTTTATTAATTTAAAAAAAAGAATTTTCAATATACACATTCAAATTTTCAATAGAAAAAACTACAAACAATTATATCCAAAAGTTAAAATTCACAAACAACTCACATTTCAATATCAAAATACCAAAATTTAAGTCTACATTTCAATACAGGTGTTATGCTTCAAAACGACCATAAGCTTGAAAATCAAATTCATAATCTTCATTACAACAATACAACCAACCCGAACAAACACTTCATTACAACATTACAACATCTGCTAATATATCCTACTTCCCAGCAAGATGATAACAAACAACCCGAATCACACTACATTCTAGGAGAAAGTCTCATTGCCTTTCTTTGACATCTTGAGTTCCTCTTCCATATTTTGGAGTTTCAAAAGACCAATTCCACGAACACAACACTTGATTTCAGCTTGCATCTCTAATTCTTTCATTCGTAAATTCTCTTCAACACTAGTAATCTTCTGAAACAAGGTCTCTATTCATCTCAGGCAAGTGCCACATTGTTCATCCTCAACCCATTCAAAGAAATTGCACTTTTGACCACTCAAGAAACGACCACACCCATAAAATCTTTTCCCCCTGTTTTTGTCTGTTGTAGCAGTCCACACTGGTGCTTGGAGTCCACAGTCACACCTCTTAATTCGCCTTGTTGCATCCATCGACCAGGACTCAGCACTCGAAGAACTCATTGCACCTTAATTTTTTTAGCATTAATAAAGTTTAAATTATCATTTCCACTCTTAATTCGTTAATACGCGTGGATTTAAATGAAGATTTCTTTGTTATCTCACCTTAAGTTTTTTAGCATTAATAAAGTTCAAAAATTTAACAAACTTCAATTCATACCTCCAAATCTACATTACATAACAAAGTTAAAAAAAAATTATATAACAATGAATTCAACATCAACATACAACACTTCATACATATTTACATTACACAACAAATCAATTCACAAATGAATTCCTAATTCACAAATTCCAATTTTCTATATTCTAAACCCTAAAATGAAAAATGAGATAAATTGGAGATATTTGTTTACCTAGAGTGTTGAAGAAGATGAAAGGAAAGTAGTATTGACAAGATATGGAGGCCTTGTCGTCGCTCGCCGGAGATTAACCTTCACCGGAGTCGGGGGAGGTGGGTCGCCGCACTTCGCCGAAGTCAGGGGAGCTGCAGAGGGTTTGGGAGTTTTGGGGATTTGGGGGAAATGTTGCGTTCTGCCTGAACCCGACTTATGTTTAAGGGGTAAGTCGTCCAACGGTTGGGCGACTTATAAGTTGCCAAACGGTTTGGCGACTTATAAGTCGCCCAACCGTTGGGTGACTTACCCCTACCACGGTTAAACCCAGCAGTAGATCCGTAAATACTTTTAACCCAACATTATTTTCGTAATTAATTAATTAATTAGCATTAATTCGGAAAAAACTCATAATTATAATTATAATTATAATAATTATAATTATAATTATAGAAATAAATATTAAAATTATGGTTACAATTATAATTATATAAATAATTATAATTAAAAAATAATTACAATTATAATTATAGCTATAATTATAATTAGTGTAATAGGTATAATTATTATCATTTTAATTATAATTATTGTTATTATTATTTTATAATTATGATTACAATTATAATTGTTGGGATAATGGCTCAGCAAGGGCCGGTCCATTAACCCATTAAGGGCCCCCTACGAATGTCCCCAGAAGGCACAAGGCAATAAATTACCTGTCCGCTAGATTCTGTAGAGGTTCATCTCCAACAGGGCCAAGCTTCAGTACCAAGGGTCAGGGGACGTACATACCCTACCAGTCTGGGGTTCTAGCAGGAAACAATGGCCAAGTACAAGGGGACGAATGTCCCCACCCTTTGGCGGGAAGGCGGGATTCCAGCAGGAAACAAGACACAAAGCATGGGGACGAACGTCCCCACCCCTTGGCGGCAAACCAAGATCCTGGTGGGAAGCGCATTTAATGTAGAAGATTTGGTGATTGGCATCGAGCCATCCACAGCCAGCCACGTCAATACATCTAACCACCTATTGGTAGTATAAATAGAAGCATCTATTTCACTGTAAATGGTTTGCAATTTAACACTCTAGCGTTATAGCAATTGTATCAGCTCTTAGCCTAGCATCATACGAACGGCCTCTCGGCTTTGTAATCGTTTCAGTGAATAAACACTCATTATTGGGCATTCCTTGCTTGTTTCTTCATCTAACTTACTAAACCATCCACTCAAGACCCTCAGTTTACGTGTTGGGCCTACCGGCCTATGGGGTTGAAGGAATAAACCTCAACACTGGCACCATCTATGGGAAACTGATCAAAAAGTTCTTTCCAACTAAGCTCTCAGCTAAAAAATCA